CATAACATAAAACCAAGAGCCCTAGGCATTGAAGAATGGGATGGGGAAGGCTGATTTAGTATTAGAAAGCTACCTAAGGGAGAAGAGCAGGGTGAACTGGAAGGTGGAGTTAAACGTGTCATTAGTTTGGAGTGATTGCATTGTCACAAGAGATCCAAATCCAGCCCTGGTGAATTCTGTTGAGCCTTATCTAGCACCAAATTAGCTCTCTCTTGTGTACAGGCAGCAATAATAAACTCTGTTATGATTTAAACTCAACGAATTCTCCTGGTTATTTGTGCCAGACTCTACCCAGTTGATAAGGGAAAGTTCCTTTCCTTAAACTGTACACTGCAGAAGGGAAGAGAACATCTGGCAAGTTCTCCCTCCACCGTCAATGTTTCTACAAAACTCTTACCCAGTACTCCTGTTATGTGAACAAACAATCAAGTGAAGCAAAAATATTTATCTATACATGATGGAAGAGGCTTATGCTAGGTATGTATTCAACAGCTCCTAATAAATGTCTCATACATAACCCTAGGAGCAAGACCAGCTGAATTCAAGGGGTCTTGGTACAGATGTATACTGTAGGAATCTAGTGCAACATAGCAATCTATACATTTATTACATTGTTTATTCACATCCTTGAGTTTACAATGCATTGTTACAATGAAGTTGCATTCTAAACAATGTATAAAATCAATTCAAAAGAGGTAAGCCATGATTAACTACTGCATATTATACAACTTAACCCCACTGCCTAAACTCACACAAACAGAAATAAGATAAAAGAGAGGTTACTTCAGATAAACTTGATTATAATGGCTGCCTCTCATTAGACCAAGGAGTCTGAGTCCTATAGGATCAAGATGTCTACGGTTATCTCTCAGTATCCTTTGCAATGTATCAGATTATCATTAAAAAGAAGAATCTGATCTAAAATAATGATAAACTGATATATTGGAAAGCAGAGCAACTTCTAGTACCATTCCTCTCCCCCCCCCACCCCCCAGAAATGCACAGGAGGGCAAACATATGCTCTTTGCAAGAGTGACCAGACTTGCTGTCTTAGTCACTGATCCCAACAAGATTTAGATTACTGAATCTGGCCTATATTGCAAGGGTATTGTTTAAAAAAAAACCTATTCACACTTTACATGATACAATTTCCATGGTGAAATTAAATAAACGGTAATTGCTGGATATGTAGAGGCTACAGAGCTATCCAGATGCTGCTGTTTTGCAATTGCAGACATTCTTGGATGGTCTGGCAGCTGTCAAAACATTTCACCACCACCTCCAAATGTTGCTAATAAATAAAAGCAGGATATAATTTTAACATCTTAACACTCTTCACTAACTGGAATGGGGGATTACTCCTATGCATCTTAGTTTCTTACTTATCTTGTGGTTCAATACTTCCATAGCGCACTGGACTCTTCCTTATGGCCAAGCCAGTATTATCTTCCAATTCTTGAGCTAGCTGCAAATGATATTGACATAAAATTAGCTGTTATCATAAGTTATCCCTCCCATGCCACAGGCATAATGCTGCTTATTAATGTTGTGTGCAGGGCATGTTAAAGACAGTAATTAGTGTGTTTTCTTAGCTTTATTTCCCTTCCATCATGTCGCCAGCAAGCTGGAATGTGTTCACTAATCACTCTTTTAAATGTGGAATGAGGGCTGGAGAAGAAAGTAAATTTTGACAGATGGCTAAATCAACAACAACAACAACCCCTCACTCTGATTTTGTGCAAGTGTTTTATGTTAGCAAAAAGAGCAGGACTACCAGATGTAAACTGGATTCCTTCTGGGCATGAGTTTAATGCTATTCCAGAAGTTCACAGGGCCTGGAGAGTCTGGGGAACACACCAACACCAGATTAAACTGACCTGTAGGTACATGGATCATCCCATCCCCAAGAGCTCTTTGCTGTTGCAATACTGGAGAACCTATGGTTTTCTGACCACGCTAGCAACAAAATGTTTGTGAGAAGAGAAGACTCCAATTTGACTGGGCTACCAACCAATTGGTCCATGAAGCAGAGCAGATTGCCTCTACAGCAAAGCCGCCTTGGGATAAGGAAGAAAATATTACTTCAGTAGCAGTGCAGTAAGGATGGCTTGCGGTTGCTTCACACGTAGGTTGGAGAACCAGATAATGCCACATCATGTGGATACCACAGGAAATGAGTGGTTGCCAGGATATGTTTGTGCCACAGTGAGAGGAGAGGAAAACCTCACTGATTGCTAGTTTTATTATCATCTACACTACAACCCCTACCTGCAACAGCTATGACTTGTTTACCAAATCTGCATTTTTGTGTGATTGAGTGTTTTAGTCTGCACAACTCAGATATTCTTAAGAACCATACAAGACTATTTTATAGGTGCCATCTTCCAAACTGGTATATTTTAATTCTTGCATCAATTTTGATATTTGCATAAACTAAGACCACATCTGACCTCTGCAAATCTGGCATGAAGACCATAATCCTAAACTTCAATGAACAACAACATATCATAAAATTAAGCCAACCCAGCATGCTCCCTACTAAGTAGAGAACATACACAGTGCCACTGTTGCTGCTTGGGGAAAGGAAAGAATAAACGTCAAGGAAATAAACCAATGGGCCACAACTAAGGACCTTCTGTTATCCCAGCACAGCTAATTACTGTTTGGCTGAGGTTGCTAATAGCCGTGGGTTTCTCATCTTTGATGTAACTTGCTGATATTAGATCTCTTTGAGAAAACAAGGATGTTAATGGTCTGGTAATGAGCAGGGAATTTTCAAAACGTTCTAGAGACAGAATATCTAGCCTTATAAATATTTATGAAAAGCCAGTTCTCATCCACAGATTAATGAAAACTGGTACATATACATTCTCTGGACATCTTCTACACAACTGAGAGCTACTACCCTGAAACTCCTACAACTATTTTTGGGGAATAACTTAGGAGTTCATGGTAGCAGCCGTGACAATTGTGGACCTATTGGTCCCAGGTTACAAACTCAATTTGAACCACGGTTAGGAAGACCTAGGCTCAATCCACATCTATGGAAAAATTGGGCAAGTTTGGGGTAGCAGTTCTATCTCAGCCTAACCTATTTTATAAGATGACTGTTATGTAGATAACAGATAATCAGAGTTGGAAGAGACCTTGTAGGTCATCTAGTCGAACCCCCTGCCCAAGCGGGAGACCCTATACCATTTTTGACAAATGGCAGTCCAATCTCTTCTTGAAAGTCTCAAGTGATGAGTGATGTGAGTAAAATCAAAGATTTCCCTGTAAGTTGTCCCAAAGTGCTGGAGAAAAATATAGGATATAAAGTTAACACTTAAAACTGACTCTACAAGCATGCAGAATAAGATCAGAAATAGGATTTTCCTTAAGATGACCAGAGTTTTTCTTCTTTAAAATTACTGATCAGACAACCTCATAAGGTTTTATTTTAAATCATCATTGCTCATCTTCTGAAAAGAATTCCAGAATGATAGAAATTCAATTTTTAACTTGATTTAAAATCTAAAAATGTAATACAGTGCAATAAATTGTAGTTTTACACAGTATAAAAAAGGAGCTGAAAAAAGTATAACTTTCTGTGTACAGTACAAATCTGTCTTTTAATAAAGATGTTTCATATACTTCATAACCAAAGGAAGTCTTATCTGCATATGGTATGTTCACTAAGACTATAATAACTACTCTCCCACCTCATCCTGTTGCTTGTATCAGATTTGCCTTGCAGGCACTGAAAAACTAAGATCTAAATGTAGACCTGTAAATTTATCTGGGAGAACAACTGTCGAAAAAGAGACGGGAACCAGAGTAGGTGGAAGGTTTAAGGTTGATTAAGGTTGTCTTTCCTGTACCACTTTAACTCAAGCTGAAATATAGAGACAATAGGATCCACACCTAATCACACCACAAACTGGTCTACTATCTCTGAACCCATCCTGTATGAACAGTTCATGGTATTGTAAGAATCAAATGAATGAGTAAATTATTGTTCAATTAATGGGGGTTGGGGGTGGGGAGGAGAGATGTTATGCAAAGAAAGCCAGAAAAGTACTGGCATAAATCACAATGAAATAGGAGTCAGATACTTCGAGACCTCCTAGCTAGAAATATGGTGGAGGGTGAAGCATTCTCCACCACCAATAAAAGAGGCATGTCTCAAAACATCTGAACACCTGTATGAAGTTAACGATGCTTAGGAAGTGGAGATACAAGTGCCCAGGGGAAAAAAGAAAAGAGGAAAAGGAAGAAGAAGAGGAGGAGGAGGAAGAAGAAGGAAGGAGGAGGAGGAGAAAGAAGGAGCAGAAGAAGAAAGAGGAGGAGGAGGAGGAGGAGGAAGGAAGGAAGGAAGAGGAAAACCCTGCAGATTCTTCATGTTTTAGTACAAAGAAGTGTACACCTGTGAAAATAAGCAAGCACCACCCCACGGACCCGTAGAAGTTTAAACTCAACATTAAAACAAAATAGGAAAAGAAAGAAGGGGTTTTGAGGACCAAAGAGGACAAACATTTCTAGCCTCCATGAATGCCTCGGAGACACCCTTTTTTTTTTTTAAAAGGCACAACTTGGCAACAGACCGGCCGCTTCTTTTGCGAAGCCTATCTCACAAAAGATCCACTTGAGACTTTCCTGAGCCCGGGGGCGGGGGGCGCTCTCTTGGAAGAGGAGGAGGAGGAGGAACGGCGGCGGTTCGGCTTCCCCGCTCCAGACACACAGCCTCCCTTACCTGTGCGCACACGTTTCACACCGGGCCAAGGTCTCCGGTGACACGGCCCGCCCGCCCCTCTATCTATCCCTCCCTCCTCCTCCTCCTCCTCTACGCTTAACCCCTGAATCCCTTTACGCCCGCCACTCACCCACCCCCGGTGCAAGAGGCAGCGGGATCTCCGCAAAGCCCTGCCCAGCTCGCCCGGCCGTCCCCGCTTTCGCTTTTCCAATCAGGAGGGGAGAACGGGAGACTGGGAGGGATTTCCTGCTGAGCGATCCCAGGCGAGGGAAGGAGGGAGGGAGTCGGAGGGGGAGCAAGGGGAGGGGGGGGAAGAAAGAAAGAAAAAAAAGAAGAAGAAAAAGGCGGCAGAGGCGGAGGCGAACTCTTGGGCAGAGTTCCCAGGGCGCCTCGCAAGCTGACCGGACGGAGTCACCTTCCGCGGGGGGCGACGCTGCCCTGAGGAAGCAGGAGAATGAGAAAGCGGGCGCGGGGGGCGCGGGAGGCGCTGCGCCAGCCTTTCCTCCGCTTAAGTTCTCGGGTTCCGTAGACTTTTGCCCGCGGACTCCCAAACCTTCTCGCTTCTCTTCCTTCCTTCCTTCCTTCCTCCCTCCGCGCCCGCCTTCGCTCGCTCCCGGGGTATAACTAGTCTTCGGCGCTCGGCAGGTCCGGGACGAGAGCGAGCGGGAAGAAAGAAGCCGTCGCTCGCATCCCGGCGGGTGTTGTGGAAGGCGAAAGGCAGCCTTTTCTCCTCGCCCGGCGGAGCGAGGCAGCCCGGAGGAGCGGGGAGGAAAAAGCCACCAGCCGGTGACAGGAACGCTCGCAACTTTGTGCGTGTGTATGTGTGTGCGCGCGCGAGTGGGAACGCGACGAGCGCCCGATGCGGTGAGTTGTGGGAAAGAAAAGCCAAAAGGTTGGAGTTGTGGAGGCTGTGGAGGGGGGGGGGGGAGGGGGGGGGGGGGGGAGAAATCGGCTCCGAGTCTTCCAAATGTTGCCGACCAAGATTTGTTTCTCCTTCCCATTCCCGCCCTCGGCGCCCCTTTATTCGCCTTATTTGGGCACTTTTCTGCAGCAGACTCTGGATTTAAAAACACTCCGATTTTTGCTTTTTTCCCCCGAAACCGGGCTCCGTCCTTCGGTTCTGGGCGTTCAAGGCGCTTGGTCTGATGGCTTGGATGTTTTCAGACTAACTTTTCAAATAATTATATCCGCCAGGCTATATAATATCGCGCTCTGGTGCGCTGTATAATGTGCGCTGGTTTATAAAGCTTTTTATCCCGAATAATTCTCGGGTTGGATTTTTTTTTTTCCCCTCTACTTCTCTGTTCCCTCTCCTCCTGCATCTCCTCTTCCCGGATAATCCCATCCCCCCTTTTTTTTGCAACCTCCTTTGACCCAGCTAGGTGCGCTGAAGTACCACCACTCCCATTATCCCCAGCCCATTCTTGACCATGTTGGCTGGGATTAGTCAGCGTTGCCCTGCAATACCCTTGGAGGATCTTTTAAGGTTGGTGAATTTTTTTTTAAGGAAAAATGAAATATAGTCTACCTCCACAGGCTCACCTCTTTTTCTCCGAAAACTGAGGTTGTAGCATGCTTGAAAAATGACATCCCTGTTGTGATAACAAAAGTTCCCCAAGTCCTACCAGGTAACCTTTGCTCTAGCCTTTGTTTTCCAGTGGAGGGAATGTTTGCCCCTTGTCTTCCCCCTCCAGGGCTGGTATTTTTAATAACTGTTGTTCAGCATCTTTAGTCTATTGCTCACTTAATTGGATCCTGGTCCCTCACCCCCAACCAACTTTTACACCACGCTTGAGAAAGGAAAATTTCAGATATTTTAGTTCAGCCGGTAGAGTCCTGAAATGGTATATTAGTTTTCTTAAGCAAGATTTGTATTTACACCTTCTGATGGGATGGAAATGAACCGGGCTGTTGAAAACATTTAACTCTCTTTATCCTGGTGAGAACCCTGACTTGTCAAGGAACACCATTCTTGTTCGTTTGCTGAGCTTTATGTACAACTTCAAAGTTCATAAGATTGCTTTAATATAGGGATCTCAGACTGAGTAGTATGTTTTGTGGAAAAACTGTAACAAAAACAATTCTTTTTATTGTACTTTGATTGTAAGAGGCTAAGGAATGAAAACAAGGGGTACAAAGATAATTTCAGATTTAAAACCTACAGAAAACTGAACAATCGGATGAGGAGAAAGTGCTCAGCCAAAAAAAAGCACTCTGCCAATGAAAATCCCTTTGGGGTCTGTTAGCAACTCTTGCTTGACTTCCAGAATGAAATGGGCCCAGAGAGCGTCAGTTGCAGCCTGTGAGCCTGGAAATGGGTAGAACAGGCTGGCCTGATTTGCTTTGCAGAGGAATGTATTCTCTTCATGCATATTCTGGAGCTTTTTGCTGTTATGGTACTTATAAGAGAACCGATTACCAAAGCCAAGTCTGGTTTTTGAGCAGTAACTCTAATTACTTTATTCTACGAAGGTGCAAAATCAGCTTTTTGGAGTTCAGTTTATTTATTACTTAGAATAAATATAATCCAAATGCTTTATTTGAAGTGCAATTATGACTTACAGTTGTAGAACGTGAGTAAATATCATTCTGTTCATAGTCTCAGGAGAGAAAAAAGTTATCTCTGGGGATAACTTTTTCAGATCACATCCCCTCGTTCTGCTGAGATGGGCTCCATAAGGAGGACTTTCAATTTCAGGGATTGTGTAGGCAAATACTTGCCACCTTGAACTGTCATTAGTTATAAATTGTACTTTGGCCCAGGATATCCTTGTAATCACATTGTTCCTGTAAAATCCACCTTATCCCTTATCTTCCTCTTCGTCTACTTCCTACCTTGCCAAGCGTGACAATGCTCCCCAACACCTCCTCCCTTCTGTTCCCCAGAGTATCTGAACTTCCTCATAGATCTAATTATGGTAATTAAAATAGGTTGGAGAAAGGAAAGAGACAAAACTCAAAATACCAATTTTTTTAACAAGCAAGTTACCAACCACAAGTTATTGCTAGAGGCCCAGATTACTAAATTATAATAATTGTGTCTCGATAATGAAAGAACAAGAGTGATCTATTATGCTCAACAGGGTCAATCTAGATACATTCTTTGAACAGAGCTATAATATTTCTTGTATATTATGGTTTTTATATGTTCTAGGTTGATCTTTAAAGCAAATGTATAAGATGTATGTTGCTGTAAAATATTTTTCTATCTGTATGGCAACAAGGTAACCCCAGTCTGAATCCAATCCAATGTATGTATGTTGATATTGTATTTTTAAATAAGATTCTGAAGGGCCTAATCCACTTAGTATTAATGGTCTGCAGTCACAGCTGCTGTAGGAGATAAATATAAATATAACTTCTTTACAGCCAGTAAACAGCATTTTGTCAAGCCAACCAAGATTCTCCATTAATGATGCTTCAAGCTAGGTCAGCCCAGTTACCCAGTTACAACTTATCTACTAAAATCTATACTTTATGGAAATTCTCAACTGCTTAAGGTTTTATAGTTTTCAAGGTCATCTTGATCATGTTACATATACACCCAACCTATACACTGTTTGCTGGTTATTTGTTAATACTGATATGAAGGGTTTATAGTTCTTGTGGTCATAGCAACTGTCATTTTACTGAGCCTGCTAAAGGTAATTCTGGATGGAAACTCTGCAGAATTTCTGGCACATGATCTGTTATCCGTTATTTTCAGTTGGAGCTAGTAGCGGTTGAACTTGGTCACTTTTGCCCACAAAGCACTTTGGGTCCATGCAAGTCCATTATAGCCTCAGAGAGCCCTATGAGTTAGATCTCCCAAGCTCCAGCTTCTGAGAATTTTGGTCCTGATCCTGGATCTTTTATAATTTAGTCATTTTAAGCTTCCTGCTTCATTCATGGACCATTGTACATAATTACTATATGAAAATTGATTATTTATCTCCAAGTATTTGCTTACTTTTTCCTCTTTACCATTGTGTTTGTTTTATTAATTTACTAGATGTATAAGTAATTGTTATACTAGGTTTATAGATCAATAATGTTGTTCTACAAAACCATTAAATAATATGTTGTATAGTTCTAGTTATGTATCCTGCCTCCCACTTACTTCCATAGCTATAACAGCTATTGCTCTTAATGTAGAGTCAAAAATGGACCTCAATGTCTTGTTAAACCCACCTACCAAAAGTGAAAAGGACCTCTCTAACCTTAGAAGCAAAGTTGGAGTTACTATGTCATGCCATAGCAGGTGAAGAATCCTCAAGGCCCAAGAAGTGCTTTTAACTTGGACGAATCTACTGTATGAAATAAAATGTAGAATGCTAACAAAATTCATAGTCCTCTGAAGTCCTCTGCTATGATAATCATGCATGTTAGAAATCCAGTTTTCACTGTACATAGAATACGAGTCAAGGAAGTAAACATGTTTCAGTAATGTAGTAGGCTCTAAACATGTATGGGCACAGGTCAAGGTATTTGGGTTACAAAAGTGGACATCATGTTCTGCAACCCCCTTTTTTCCATTGGTTTCATGTCTTACTTTATGTGAATTTGCTTTGTGAGATTTTCAGGGAACCTGTACTTGTTTGGAAAGATAGCAGTGCAGATGATAAAGTAGCTACTGATAGAGAGCCAGATCTTGTTTCACCTGGATGAGCAATTCATTTGTCATCTTGATCATAGCTGAGTGGTTGCTGTGGAGATGGGCAATACTAACACCAGATAAAGAACCTAGCTCATATACATCAGGTGATTTTGTCTTCAGGGTCAGTAAATGATGCATGTGGTCTTTGGAGTGTTTAAGATTTCAAGAAGGAACACTGAAATATCCAAAGTATAAGCCAGCAACACATTCTTATGATACATGGTCATATTTTTCTCACACAAAAGGGGGCTTGCTCTATCTCTTGAAATCATTTAAACCCGAAGCTGATTTTTATAAATAGCCTAGTTAACTCCAGGCAGAAATTTTCTAATCTGTACATTGTTAGTCTGTTTTCCAACAGTAAAGAGTTCACCCCATTGTGTGGAGTTTTTGTGTGAGGGAAAGTTTATTGTAACATCTTCAAAACTCATTTGTAATTTTTGTTTTCTGTTCCTCACATCACTTTCGTAGCTCAACGCTCCTTCTCTTTTAACTACTTGTACACACAGTCAAATCTCCAGATAAATTTGGGAATGTGCCTTAAGATAGTAGAGATGGACTGCTGGGCACTTGCTACATTGCATTATGACTTAAGATGGCCTTGTTCCTCTGAGTTTAAGAAACTCCTTTGTCATCTTAAATATTCTATATTTCAGTTGTGGGACAAGCGAAAATTTGTTCAAGCAGTAATCCTCAAACCAATCAACTGGTTCCAAGTTTAAAACCTAGACTAAATCACATGTTTGTATAAATTGTTCCTCAATTCTTCAATTCTCTTTCCTTTCCTGAATCAGGAGTGCTTCAATGCAAAAGATACTAAACTTCTTAATGGATAGGTGTGGGTGTAAAAAAAAAAACATGAAGCAGTGGTGGCAAACACAAGGGTATTATGACAGGAAAATTGTATCTTCTGGATTCCCACAAAATTCAGTATCTTTGCAATGGTGACATTATAAATCTTGGTGTGGGAGAGCCCTGCATCCCCGATAGCAATAGCACTCAGACTTATATACCGCTTTACAGAGCTTTACAGCCCTCTCTAAGTGGTTTACAGAGTCAGCATATTGCCCCCAACAATTTGGGGTCCTCATTTTACCCACCACAGAAGGATGGAAGGCTGAGCCTGGTGAGATTTGAACTGCCAAATTGCAGGCAGTGGGCAGTCAGCAGAAGTAGCCTGCAGTACTGCACTCTAACCACTGCACCACTGTGGCTCATAGGCAGGAAG